TTTACGTTGTTTTAACATTCTATTTAACGTTAATAGTTGAATAGTTTTCCCAGTAGAGAACAGTACATAAGAAAAAAGCAGAAATTCACTTCAATGTTTTTTCGTCAATTTGCATGTTGTTTTGGTCGTGTTTTCTGAAGCTGTAGCTGAATTAAGTGAAGAAGGAATCTCAAAGTGAAAAGTTTTACAGAAAACTCTATCATGACAAGTTATCAGAAACGTTGTTTTAACGTTGTGAGGAGCCCAAAGCATAACGTTTCCTCAGCGTAAGTTTGCAATGCTGTTATTACATTGTGACATAACGTTATAAAATGACGTAATATAACGCTATGTCATGGCATTACCAATCTACAACCTTCACACAAGGTTGCGAAGAACGTTGTGTGTTAGCTGGGAGGTTCTGATCAGGAAAGAAACAAAACAGACTAATATAGACACAAAACAACTTCCATTTAATAACTATCAAAATCTCATCTGGAAGGAAGGATCTGAGAACAGCTGAATACTGGAAAAAGTAGTCATCCTGTAGCAGCGCAGTACAGAAATCAGAGTGCAATATTGAATTTGCCTAAGTTCACCATATTGCATGGCTGTATTGCTATCATCAGGTTCTATGAGTGTATAATATATATACAGATACTGACTCATCAGATAGTTCTCATTTCATCAAATGAAGAAGGATTACAAAGGCTTTACTTCAGTTGTCACTGTGTGCAATTTCCTGCAATCAATATCACGATAACTTGTATCAGTGCATTGTGATAAATGTGCACCAGTTGTCCTCTCACACATACAGTATACCAGTAATTCAATTTATCCAGGCATTGTTAGCATCCTGTTATATTATGGGTTATGCTAGGAGGTGAGGTGAAATTGGGTTTTACGTCGTGCTTCAGAATATTTCGCTCACATGACGACGTGCATGCATGTGTATGTGTATGTGCGGCTGTTTGTACTAGCCCAGACTTAAGCTGGTTTTATAGTGCTAGCCCACTGAGATACCATGCCGCAGTGAAGCATGAATACCCCACTCAGACACATTATACTGACTCCGAGCTGACCAGTCCTTGTTGTACCCATTAATGCCGAGAGCCAGGCAGGGACCAACAAGTACCATATTTTAACGTCTTTTGGTATGACGCGGTCGGGGATCGAACCGTTCTAACCACTACACCACGGAGGCGGTACGCCATGCTAGGATAGTTTCAGAGGATGGGAGATGATATTGAAGATACTGAGATACTTTTTTTCACAGCCATGATTAGTTGGTTCTCCAAATGAGACATCTGACTTTATTTTTCTGAAATCATTTAATTTATCAATGTTACATGGTTTTGATATGTTTCCCACCTGCTTGCCCTTCAAAGATTTGAAGCTGAAAACAGTCACCAAAACACTGCAAACTTAAATATAAAACCTGTATCAAATGGTATACCATTGAATAACTAGTTCCTGTTTAGTTCAGTTTTAGCCGTCAAACATGGTCCTGTAGTTTATATCATGAATGTTTTCCATTATTTGTAAAAGAAACAGTCAATGTTTGGTGTTATAATGATGTCAAAGAGACATATCTGATCAGACTTCAAGGTTTAAGTAATACGAATATTACTTTCAATATTTTTCTTATAGGAATGTATCATTGTTTAATGTCCAGGTCGTGCTTGGCGTTTATATCATGAATGTGTTATATTGTTCATAACAGAAACGGTCAATGTTTGGCGTTATAATGATGTCAAAGAGACATATCTGACCAGACTTCAAGGTTTCAGTAATACAAATTTTACTTTCAACATTTTTTCTTATATGAATGTATCATTGTTTAATGTCCAGTTTGTGCCTGGCTTTTATATCATGAATGTGTTCCATTATATAAAACAGAAACGGTCAATGTTAATGATGTCAAAGGTATAATGATGGTCAAAGAGACATTACAATATTTTTTCTTGTATGAATGTATTGTTGTTTAATGTCCACTTGGCGTTTAAATCATGAATGTGTTCCTGGCAGTCAATGTTGGGTGTAATACAAAGTAAATGTATTGCTATTTTAATGTCCACTTCGTGCCTGGCGATGTTGGGTGTAATAAAGAAACGCCCCGGCGGAGGCAGCACATGTTGCAGTGTCGACTCCCATGCTGTCTTCCATCCTTGAGAACAATGAGCAAACACTCCACACACAACCACCAGCATAATACACATCAATACACATGCGGGCGTGACTGGAAGCTGGTCACATTACCACTCGGGTCCACCCTCTCACGGGCATTGATTCACTGAAGCCAAAACTTTATGTTTGTGAGATAGGTTGGTATAGCATCAGTGCACTTTGGTCCTTCAAGAACAGCAGCCAGGGGTACTGTAGCTCACCTGGTCGACTGATTGACTGATGATGGTTGTGACAGTCCATCAGCCAAGTGCTGCGACAGCTTACTGTCAGCTCTTATTGAACACCTGCCCAGCTGTGTCACAAAGCGAGAGTGGGACATTAACAAATGTGATAAATAGCTGCTTGCCTTCAAACTTGTTGCCAGCAGCATTTTGGTTAGAGTAATGATTTTGAAATGTCCTGTGGACAAACTGGCTACTGAAATTTTAACATTTTTTTTCATGCCCTCATTTATAGTTGATTAAAATAAAAGTTTGCCCGTTTCGGTAGATCAGTATGACCATTAAAATAAAAAAGATAAATGTACCATTCAAATCAATGCTCAGATTAAGTGGGATTAGAGTTATCCCCCTTAATCTTGTTCAAACACTGTAATGTTTTTAAAAAATCTTTAAACATCAAATGCCTATAAATTACTTATGTATGGGATATAAAGGTTTGGGTTACTTGGTCTTGCTGATGGTTTAATTGGACATCAGAACTAATTATTACTTATCTCTGTCAAGAGATGCAATGCCATTCACCTGTTACATCTGTGACTTCAAGAGTAAGACATATTGACATGTCCATGACATATTCAATAATTCATAATAAGGATATCAACAGGTAGGTTTATGTATTACCAGGGCTCCAGATAATTTTTCAACATCAGGAGTACGTACTCCTTATTTTTTCAATATAGGAGTACTGGAAAATCTTAAGAGTACATTTAGAGTACTGAATGGAATTTAATGGCGTATCAGTAATCTTGTGTTTCGTTTCATATATGCACCACAACATTGCTAGTCTTGAGTAAACAGGTCAATAAACAATAAAACAAATTGAATACTTTTTTTAGATAAATACATCTGTAAATGATTCTAAGACCGTACACCATTGCTGTGGTGCGTATCTGCTACGTTTTCTAAACTATTTTCTACCGTTATATATATATATTCTTTTATCCGTACCTACGCCGATACGGCCCTTATCTGGAGCCCTGTCAGGGGTGGAAATAACTCTAAAATTGCTAGTGTACTCCGGTACAGTGGCACATGTAAAATCACTTGCCCTGATAATTTTTCCACTATACCGGCCATTTTCTTGTTGATTTTTGAAATAAACAACATAATTAACATTGGAATATCAACTGGACACCGGTACAGTGTGATATACAAATTTGCTTGCCCGACAGAAAAAAACGCTGGACTCGGGCGTCGCGCAATGGGTTATTTCCATCCCTGCCTGTATTACTGTGGTGTAATGTTATAGCAGTACAATATTGTATAGAGATATCATGCTCAGGCTCAATACATATACTATTCACACTTTGCTAAGGATCAAATCATTGATTCAACAGAAAACTATGATGTGGGGTCTAATTTGGTTTAAATATCTAAGCTTATTGTAAGCATGGATCTACTAGGTTTCAGTATGTAATTTCATCTTGTGGATCCCATACCTGCTATTGACAGGTGTTGTGTACTTGTCAATGACTCGTTCCATGATTTGCAAAATGGTTGATTGGTGCCATGAAAACCATTTTTATGGTAACTCATGTATCATGTGCATAGGGTTAAATTAAAGTGGCTGTTTAAGTAAAGTTGGGAATTTTTGTAATTCTTAGCAAAGTGTGAGTAGTATAGTTATAATGATATAAGGCTCAGGATACAATACATTGATACTCCTGTATCACAATGTGTACAATTTATTACATTACAAGTGAGTGAGTGTCTAAGTTTAGTTTTATGCCGCTTTTGCAATATTCCAGTTATATCCATGTGGGGAATCGAACCCAGATCTTTGGTATGACGGGCAGACACTTTAACCACCAGGCGACCCAACATTACAAGTTATGTTGACATAAAAACAGAATAATAACAGAAACTTTTCAAGAACCTGTTTATACAGATTCTCTAGTATTTCCTGGTTGGCTGTGGATATCAGAATTGGCTTGGTTTGTGGGAAAGTCTTGATAGTTTTAGCCAGGGTCCAAGTAAAACAATGCACAATTGACCATTTTGTTCCCAGTACTTGAGACCCACAGCAGGTACCCAGGTAGGATCCTGGGTTACATATAGACTTGTCCAACCCTAGTAAGAGGTGTATATGTACTTACGTCTGTAGAAAGCTTTGTTTGTTGATCAGTTGCCAAAGGTAATGCAATGCAATTGATCAAGTGAGTGAGTGAGTGAGTTTAGTTTTACACAGCACTCAGCAATATTCCAGCTATATGGCGGCAGTCTGTAAATAATCCAGTCTGGACCAGACAATCCAGTGATCAACAGCATGAGCATCGATCTAAGCAATTGGGATACGATGACACGTGTCAACCAAGTCAGTGAGCCTGACCATCCGATCCCATTTGTCGCCTCTTACGACAAACATGGGTTACTGAAGACCAGTTCTAACTTGGATCTTCACAGGTTTATCAAGTATAACCTAACATATTGAAAGTTACTTTTTGTTAGATTTTCAAGTTGTTTTTATAATTAAATCTACAGCATTTGGGAACATGAAAATATATATAAAACACTTTTTATCTTATATTCTGATTCTGGTTCTTGGCTATGATGAGTCAAATCTGTAAGAAAATACTTAAATAACCATCGCCTGAGAGATAATATTGTGCCTACCTTGTCATGGAGGTCCCTGGCCCTCTGGACCCGGTGTTTGGCAGGTGTGGACTTGTTCAGGTTCTTCTCCACTTGCAGCATGTTGGCGGTCCGTCCGACTGGGATGGTTAGGAGACTCATCCGTCCCGCCTTGGATAGTCTCCCCACATCATCTAGACTTAGGGCGGGCTGGTTGTTCACCTCCAGAATCACATCACCTAGAAGTCACAATGTTAGTGAGTCAATTGGGTTTCATGCTATCATAATCCATTCTCAGGTTTATTCAGCATACGTTGAAAACGATTCTTCCAAAATTGATATTTCAGAATTGATTTATCACTGATTTGAGTCCAAAACATGCATGTCTATTGGGGCAGATATCATGGATGAAATATTTACGTTTTTACATAAATGGATGTATGGGCAGAGTAGTTCTCTAGGACCCTGCAGAGTTTTGTCCCTTAGTTGTGCCAGGATCTGATACTCAAGGGTTTTAAACAGATATAACCTGATACAGCTGATGTACTCTTCAAACAATCATGACCTAACAGTAACACACTCAGTTGCTAATCTTAAAAACATTTGAATTTCTTCTTTATACCCAAGTTAATTTAACAGTGACATTTACATAAAAAAATTATGGAACGTTTGGATAAAATTGAGGAATATTGTGAACACAGACTGTCAGTATGTCCAACATCATTCCCATGTTCACTGTGACAAGACTGGTATGACTGAGACATGTTTGTTTGTTTGTTTGTTTGTTTGTTTGAACCACACTCAGCAATATTCCAGCTATAGGACGGTGGTCTGTCAATAATTTAGTCCGGACCAGACAATCCAGTGACTGACATCAAGAGCATCAATGTCTGCAATAGGGATATGATGAGATGTGTCAACCAAGTCAGCAAGGCTGACCATCAGACCCATACAGTCTCGATGACCACACCTTACAACAATCATGGGTTGTTGAAGACTAGTTCAAACCCAGATCTTCACAGGTCTGGTATTATGTGCATTATTGTATTACTTAAAAAATACTGTAAAACATCAGGGCTGCGCAATATAACCGATTTACCGGTATTTAATGGTTCAGACATGAAAATGATACGTATTGCGATACGCTGATCGAAAACCGGTATTTTGACTTTCAGGGCATTCAGAAAACTTCGTAACACTCGGAAATGTTTGAATATGTCCTTGTTTCATTTGTGCCAAATATTATTCACATTCTTATTTTATCATGATTATGAGTTGTTATTAAAGCTTAATCAAGCCTAGTGATTTTGTTGTGCTTTTGCTCTATAAATCAAGAAGTAACTCGATTATAAGTAGTTTTTGTTTAAAAATACTTCATGCAATATATTGCAATACATATCGCAATACATGCTTTCGCATCGCAATATATCGCAATATGAAACTTCTCTGCAATAGCCACCCCTATAAAACATCATACAGGTAGAGAAATAGAGTGAATATTATATATTTCAGACTTAAAAGAAAACCAAAAGCCAACTGGTCCCGGATTACTATATCTCCTCAATTTTTCTCGCAAATTTCAATGACTAATTCGAAACAAAGACTGTTTTTTGAGTAACTAAAACACAAAAATTAACATGTGTATATCACATTTTCCACTAGCCCCTGATGTACTGAGCCATAGTGATGTGATTCCTGCTTGCCAGGAACATTAATATTGCAGACCCAGTTGTAAATAAATCATGCATGGTGGTTGTTACTGCAGTAATTAGGCTGATGGTGCTGTTATGTTAGCACTGGCCATATGCCTTGGTGACCACGCTTGGAATGTTCCTGATGTGCTCTTTGTTGCAGTACCAATGTTAACTATCTGAGCAACAGAGGACAGTAGAGGATTTGAAACTCGTAACCTGTAATGTTTTGCATGGCTTGTTGATTGATTGGTTGGTTGGTTACATGGTTAGGAAAACAATTGGTTGAAACTGGTAACCTGTAGTGTTATGTGGCTTTGTGGATTGAGTGAGGTGAGTGAGTGAGTGAGGTGAGTGAGGTGAATGAGGTGAGTTGGAGGTAAGTGAGTGAGTGAGATTTGAGGTCAGCTTGATGGTGAAAGTGGGATGTGTTATAGAGGGAGTGAGTAAAGTACAAATTCTAGACATTTGTTGGGTCAGATTTTTCAGGCAGATGGTGCACCTGTGAATAGATCCCAGGTAAAGACCAACTTGGCAGGAAAGAATTCTGGTCCATAGAGCATCTGTAATGCTATGCCTACCTTAAGTATAATTCAAAGTATGTGAGCTATGATCTATAATTCAAAATATGTGAGCTTAGTGCTTTAAGGAACTGATTTCAGTTTCACTCCAAGGAATCCATGATGAAATCTGTGATTCATAACTTTTAAGTAGTACTGTTAATTTTTATTGGATTTCTTGGGAAGATTAGATTGATTCAACCCTGAACTTTGAACATACATGATTCTTATTGGTCAATCAGTCTTCAAATCACATAAAAAACATCTCAGATTGAAACAGCTGTTTTGACAATGCATACTGTTGCAAAAATCACTAAAGCTCATGATCATTTAAATACGAAGTAACCTAACTCTAAACAGATATGTATATTTCCTATATATAACATATGGTAAGGCTCATATATGAAATATGATAATGGAACAGTGAATTGCAGAGTTTCAAAGACACAGTTAAATGTCTTTTGAGAATTTATTTTTGAATTTTGGCATCATATGCAGTCTAAGACAGCTGTGGTTCTTTTTTTCCTTCATCGATTAAAAACATGCCTCATTTGAAACAGTGTGTGAGTGAGTTTAGTTTTACGCCGCACTCTGCAATATTCCAGCTCTATGGGAGCAGTCTGTAAATAATCGAGCCTGGACCAGACAACCCAGTGATCAACAGCATGAGCATCGATCTGCGCAATTGGGATACAATAAATCTGTGAGTCTGACCACCTGATCCCGTAGTTGTGTCTTACAACAGGCATGGGTTACTGAAGATCAATTCTAGCCCGGATCCTCACGGGTCCATTTGAAACGGACACTGTATCCAAGCTTCACAACTGACATCGTATCAGAGAGCTGAGTTCAACATGTGTCTAGTTGTTATTGTTGGTATTCTTGGTTGGAAAAACAAGAATAGCGTTTGTTTTTCTATAAAACATGATAAGTGTATCTTTAGGAAAGTGGTAAACCAGAATTCTCATTGTATACATGTATTTTGTAAAGGTTAAGTTTTTGTTTGTGTTTTTATCCAGCAAACAGTGAACATCGTAAAGATAGTGCCAGGTGAATATATACGTGTGTGTGATGGGATATTGATATACGTTTCTTTACTGTTTAAACCACATTCAGAAATATTCCACCTCAGGATTTTACCTCAACTCACATGGGAGTCGAGGGACCCTAATTATTAGTTTTAAGGGGCCTTGATGACAATATGAGGGTCCTGTGGAGAAACAGTGTAGAGGAGTGTATGTTTTGATAATTTCTTGAGAACCTTGAATGAATCATTGATCATGTGGACTGATGGATGAAATGATGCATGTAACTGCCCTGAAAGAATCAACCAAACACTTGGCAAAGTCATTGATGTGTTGTGGGTACAATGAATAATATTTTGCATCCTTTTGGATGCAGTGAATTGTTTTTCTGCGTACATTATCTACCTTTGTGTGTACTGGACGCACGTTTACGCGTCACGTAAAACCCTTGAGCAATATGAAAGTGGCCTGTAAATAACGGTAATTAAGTTGGACTAGATAATCCTGTGATTGATACTGCGATCATTGATACAAGGGTACAGTGACGTGCAGTTGACCATGCCTGCACTGAGTGACCATCAGACCAATATGGTCAGCAAAGGTTGCTGGGGACCAATTCCGACCAAGAATCTAGACAGGGTGTTTCCCAATACGCACCTATCCTTAGTCCGGCTCTGTAGGCAGGACTTCCGAAGTCGACAGCTCCCACAACCAGAGGGCGCCCTTCCACTAGAGTAAATCCGTACCCTGTTGCATTCCGAGCGGGTATATCCACTTGACACAGACATGACACTACTTCGACTCCTGGAGGCTGGGCACGGCTTTGTTTGGCGAGTATTCTCAATGATTCTGCCGACAGAGCCGTCACATCTCGTCCCTCCAGCTGCAGAAGCTGGTCTCCGGCATAAGCCCTGACCGATGAGCAACACTGCCCTTCTCCACATAGATAACATAACATGGACCACGCCCATATATCTGAAAGCCATAAGACAGAGGCCACTTCACTGGCACCCTCAGCGGCATGGCGTTGGTTAAACAATTCACAAATTACTGTACTGGAGATATCACTCAGATTAGGTATCCATCAATGGCTGCGAATCTTCTTATTCCTTACTTTCTTTAAGTATAGTCCATTTTGGGGACAGAACAATTCTGAAATTGAAGTTCCATAAATTTTTAATCAAAATCATATTAAAGTTGAATCAAATGTCATTAAACCCTCATAAATCAACAGACAATAAAGGAATAAACATGATCAGTAGTCTGTGATAAGTGAAATGACAGCTAGTTTACAAAACTCACTCAACCCAAATGAACAGTGTACTAGTTGGAAAAGAACAAAGGTGTCTACCTGTGGAATGAGAAAAGTTTATAATTTTACATCTATCTCCAAAACCAAAGTCTAAAACATAATAAAACACAAACATATCAGAGCTGTCAACCCCTAAAGATGGTTTGGAGTGAGACTGAAAAAATTAAGCCGGGGTCCAGCCGGGGTCATGTCGAGGGCGATGCCCTGGTGGGGGGTCTCTGGGGGAGAAGCCCCTTGAAAATGAAAATTTTCATTTGGAGCCTTCTGGTGGCATTATTTTGACACTAAAAAGACATGCTAATAAAAATAAGCCGAATCATTAGCATAAACAGTTTTTCTGTTCATTCATCATGTTTTCACGCAAAAAGCGAAAATGAGTATTAATTTTGAAATTATTCTTGGCTACCAGATATGCGTGAGATTATTATTTTATGACATTTGATCGTGAGACTGAACCAGGTATGACACGTACCAAATTTCTCTTTCACACAAACAGAAGTTCTGCATCATTTCAAAATTTACCGTTAGGATCCTGAACCAACTCAATTAGGTCAAAAGTGCAGTCACCTGGCCTTAGTCAGAGCTCCATGAGTTCATCTATTATTCACAATCATCACATTAATTTGGATACTCAACGTCTGATTTGGAACATCGCCACATAGGTTGTGTTCATCACAGCCAAATTCAGGGAAAGAAGTGCCACTTTACACTGTGCTTATATCCACATACATATTCCAACATATTGTGTATAGCTAACAAGTAATACAGCATTAATCATATTTATATACTGAGCTATTAGGGTGTGTACTTATAAAATCAATAAAACCTTTGTGCCAAATGGTGAATATATTATTGAACATAATATGACTGTTATTGAAGAGCACTGTTGGAATATTTCTCAGTTTCTTGCACAAAAGATTACACTGTATTCTATCTCTTAAGGAAAAATATTTCTGCTAAGATGTTTTGAAAGTATCATAGAAAGTACGAAGGGGTTACTGTTTGAGTGTACTGACAGTAATCTACATGCACTTGCATAGATGATGGAGAATGTCATATCTTGAATATTCTCGACAAATGCATTAATTGTAAAAGTCTTTTGAACTAACACCTTCACTTTCACAAGAAAACCAATTAGTTGATAATCACGTGATTTGTGAAGCTGTCAACATTTAGAAAAGTTACCTTTGAAGCCGTTTCATCTCAGTCCATCGCAGTGACACACATTTACCTGTTCAGCGCGACCTATCAAACGATGTCTCACCGCTGCATAGTGAATAAATCCTATATCGATCAACAGCAACAAGTTGCGTTCGAAGCTAGCGCGCTGATCAATATTATGTCACGTGACGCCACGTGAGAAGCTGTTGATGTAAACTTCCGGTTTCACACGTGCGTAAGAATGGCTGCTGAAGTTGTAAACACGCCGAAAGAACAGCGTTTGTTTTGACGATCCGTGGCGTCTTGGCAACGGGGAAGCGCTGGCGCTGTTCTTCAGATGATAGAGCAGAATATGTTGCACGTGGAACCAGAGGTAAAGGTTTCTCTGCTCGTTGAACAGAAACTAAAATAGAGCTGTGGTTTTGCCAACCCAAATGTCGTGTGTTGTCGATATACTGCAGATGGACATGATTTCTGCAATGTAAATGAATCTTGACATTTGACAAATCGATGTATCATGTCAAAGTCACCTTGTCAACATATGTCTCTTCCCAAGGACTTCTCAATGCTTATATTTCGACACTTGAAAGACGGCTTGCCACTTTGATGTTTTACTTTCACGCCTATTTCGAACATGGACACATTATTGATTACCAATAATTGAGATTAACAACACGATATGTGTGAATCATGACGTTATGCTTGATTCATCCCCGTGTGTAGGCGATTTATGTCCTCATAAAAGAACTGGAGGCCACGATCGGTGAAACTTCAATCATGCCATCTACACTAATGAAATGAATGCTGTATGGGCTTGAATGGAGTAATCATAGTCACATGAAAGTTTTGAGACAGCTTGTGTTATTTTAGATATATATCTGTATACATTCTGGATTCTTGCCACTTTCATATTTCCTTGTTTGGTCGGCTTTAGCAATGAATGTATGATGATAATGGTAGGCTGGAATACAAGAGGTCAGACACCTTCCCAAATGTCGGTAAACAAATGCGCACAAGCTCCTCCCTACAGCTGTAGCTGTCTTTTTTTTATGAAGCTGCCTGACTAATATAACAGGGTTTGGTGGTCTTACCCAGATACAGTGAAACAAATACTGTTGTAAAAATGTCTGTTTTAGCTTCCAGTGTTCATGGTGTTACTGAAATAAAGAGTAACCATTGTCTGATTGGTTACATCCGTGTTGCCATCTCGCGTTTGATTGGGCGGTCATAGGTCGCTCAAACATTAGCTGACGCGACCTTCGACTCAGCAGTGTAACGAATAATACTGAGTCTAAGTTTACTTAGACTGGATTAAAAGCAGACAATAATGAATTTTATCACTTTCTTAAACATTTAATGTTATTTTTCTAAAGTTGTAGTCACACTGACTCACAGATATTGATCTCTTTTGCTGCAGGTGACAAAACTGTGATGTAGTACTTCTAACGTCTTCACGCCAGTAAGCCATCGTTGATAGTAGTGCGTGACCTGACCCATTAGCCTTGACCTTGACCTGACCTACCGAGCCATCATGGACTTCATCCTCCTCTTCACCATCTACATATCCCTTTTTGGATTGTTTGTCGTGTTTTACTTGTTTGGAAACCACCCGTTGCTGAATAGTGGTGTGGTGGGCAGACTGAAGGAAAACGTAATACAGGTACTGAGTAAAGATTGGAGTGAGTGAGTTTGGTTTTACGCCACATTCAGCAATATTCCAGCAATCTGTAAATAATCGAGTCTGGACAAGACAATCCAGTGATCAACAGCATGAGCATCGATCTGCACAATTGGGAACCAATGACATGTGTCAACAAAGCCAGCGAGCCTGACCACCTGATCCCGTTAGTCGCCTCTTACGACAAGCATAGGTTACTGAAGGTTCATTCTAACCCGGACCTTCATGGGTAGTAAAGATTTAACCCGGACCTTCACGGGTAGTAAAGATTGGAATATTTACCAAACTTTCAAAGGGATACCTATGTAAAGCGTGTGACGTGTCATCATTTATTTTTGTAATTTTTCTACTGCCATGATATCTGCATCGATCATATGAATCATGTGAGTTTAGAATATGTTATGGGAAGAAATGTTTATTTGAAAATGGTCATGCAGCAATGATTTTATTCAATTGGCAACCATTGTCTTTTGATAAATGGAAATCAAATTTCATTGGTCAATTGCCAATAGAATGAACATATCATGATGTGATGTAACTGGAGATCTCTTTCAGACTGTGATGTTCTGCATCCCAAGCTCAGTCCTCCAGATCGGATCCGACTCTGCATACTACCTGTTTAATACAAGGTAGGGAAAACTAGTTTGTGAGACTCAGTTGTGCTACCTGTTAACACTACGTAGGGAGGTAGTTTGTGAGACACAGTTGTGCTACCTGTTATACACTAAGTAGGGAGGTAGTTTGTGAGACACAGTTGTGCTACCTGTTTACACTAAGTAGGGAGGTAGTTTGTGAGACACAGTTGTGCTACCTGTTTACACAAAGTAGGGAGGTAGTTTGTGAGACACAGTTGTGCTACCTGTTAACACTAGGTAGGTAGTTTGTGAGACACAGTTGTGCTACCTGTTAACACAAAGTAGGGAGGTAGTTTGTGAGACACAGTTGTGCTACCTGTTAACACAAAGTAGGGAGGTAGTTTGTGAGACACAGTTGTGCTACCTGTTTGTGAGACACAGTTGTGCACACAAAGTAGGGAGGTAGTTTGTGAGAGACACAGTTGTGCTACCTGTTAACACAGTAGGTGAGAGACTCAGTAGTTTACCTGTTAACACAAAGTAGGGAGACACACAGTTGTGCACCTGTTAACCTAAGTAGGGAGGTAGTTACCTGTTAACACTAAGTAGGGAAGTAGGGAGGTAGTTTTGTGAGACACAGTTGTGCTACCTGTTAACACACAGTAGGGAGGTAGTAGGGAGGTAGTTAACACAAAGTAGGGAGGAGGTTTGTGAGAGACACAGTTGTGCTACCTGTTAACACAAAGTAGGAGGTAGTAGAGACACAGTTGTGCTACCTGTTAACACAAAGTAGGGAGGTAGTTTGTGAGACACAGTTGTGCTACCTGTTAACACAAAGTAGGGAGGTAGTTTGTGAGACACAGTTGTGCTACCTGTTAACACAAAGTAGGGAGGTAGTTTGTGAGACACAGTTGTGCTACCTGTTAACACAAAAAGTACAAGTAGAGACACAGTTGTGCTACCTGTTAACACAAAGTAGGGAGGTAGTTTGTGAGACACAGTTGTGCTACCTGTTAACACAAAGTAGGGAGGTAGTTTGTGAGACACAGTTGTGCTACCTGTTAACACTAAGTAGGGAGGTAGTTTGTGAGACACAGTTGTGCTACCTGTTAACACAAAGTAGGGAGGTAGTTTGTGAGACACAGTTGTGCTACCTGTTAACACAAAGTAGGGAGGTAGTTTGTGAGACACAGTTGTGCTACCTGTTAACACAAAGTAGGGAGGTAGTTTGTGAGACACAGTTGTGCTACCTGTTAACACAAAGTAGGGAGGTAGTTTGTGAGACACAGTTGTGCTACCTGTTACACACACCTGTTAACAGTAGGGAGGTAGTTTGTGAGACACAGTTGTGCTACCTGTTAACAACACAAAGTAGGGAGGTAGTTTGTGAGACACAGTTGTGCTACCTGTTAACACAAAGTAGGGAGGTAGTTTGTGAGACACAGTTGTTGCTACCTGTTAACACAAAGTAGGGAGGTAGTTTGTGAGACACAGTTGTGCTACCTGTTAACACAAAGTAGGGAGGTAGTTTGTGAGACACAGTTGTGCTACCTGTTAACACAAAGTAGGGAGGTAGTTTGACACAGTTGTGCTACCTGTTAACACAGTTGTGCTACCTGTTAACACAAAGTAGGGAGGTAGTTTGTGAGACACAGTTGTGCTACCTGTTAACACAAAGTAGGGAGGTAGTTTGTGAGACACAGTTGTGCTACCTGTTAACACAAAGTAGGGAGGTAGTTTGTGAGACACAGTTGTGCTACCTGTTAACACAAAGTAGGGAGGTAGTTTGTGAGACTCAGTTGTGCTACCTGTTAACACAAAGTAGGGAGGTAGTTTGTGAGACACAGTTGTGCTACCTGTTAACACACAAAGTAGGGAGGTAGTTTGTGAGACACAGTTGTGCTACCTGTTTAACACAAAGTAGGAGTAGTTTGTAGAGACACAGTTGTGCTACCTGTTAACACAAAGTAGGAGGTAGTTTGTGAGACACAGTTGTGCCAAATTTGTTAAACACAAAGTAGGGAGGTAGTTTGTGAGACACAGTTGTGCTACCTGTTAACACAAAGTAGGGAGGTAGTTTGTGAGACACAGTTGTGCTACCTGTTACACACAAGGGAGGTAGGGAGGTAGTTTGTGAGACACAGTTGTGCTACCTGTTAACACAAAGTAGGGAGGTAGTTTGTGAGACACAGTTGTGCTACCTGTTAACACAAAGTAGGGAGGTAGTTTGTGTGAGACAAAGTAGGGAGGTAGCCACCCGTTAACACAAAGTGACAGTTGTGCTACCTGTTAACACAAAGTAGGGAGGTAGTTTGTGAGACACAGTTGTGCTACCTGTTAACACAAAGTAGGGAGGTAGTTTTGTGAGACACAGTTGTGCTACCTGTTAACACACAAGTAGGGTAGGGGTAGTTTGTGAGACACAGTTGTGCTACCTGTTAACACAAAGTAGGGAGGTAGTTTGTGAGACACAGTTGTGCTACCTGTTAACACAAAGTAGGGAGGTAGTTTGTGAGACACAGTTGTGCTACCTGTTAACACAAAGTAGGGAGGTAGTTTTTGTGAGACACAGTTGAGGTAGCTACCTGTTAACACAAACAAAGTAGGGAGGTAGTTTGTGAGACACAGTTGTGCTACCTGTTAACACAAAGTAAGTAGGGAGGTAGTTTTGTGAGACACAGTTGTGCTACCTGTTAACACAAAGTAGGGAGGTAGTTTGTGAGACACAGTTGTGCTACCTGTTAACACAAAGTAGGGAGGTAGTTTGTGAGACACAGTTGTGCTACCTGTTAACACAAAGTAGGGAGGTAGTTTGTGAGACACAGTTGTGCTACCTGTTAACACAAAGTAGGGAGGTAGTTTGTGAGACACAGTT